CCGTCCCTCCCCAGCACCTTCCGCCTACCGGCAGCCCCACTGATCAGCACCTCCCTCTCCCAGCACCTCCCGATCAGGGCGTGCTGGAAACTCTGGGGGGGAGGAGCGAGGGCACGGCAGGCTCAGGGGAGAGGGCAGGAAGAGGTGGAGTGGGGGCAGGGCCTGTGGCAGAATCAGGGGTTGAGCAGCGAGCACCCCCCAGCATATTGGAAAGTTGGCGCCTGTAGCTCCAGCCCCGGAGTCAGCGCCTGTACAAGGCGCCGCATATTAACTTCTGAAGAGCCGCATGTGGTTCTGGAACCACAGGTTGGCCACCCCTGTGTTAGACCCTAGGCCAAGAGCACCTAAGAGAAAGAATGCTTGGCTCCACCTCGGAGCCCTGGCCCTGCCCATCCAATGTCCCATCTCCAGATGTGGCCATCCCTGAAGCTTCAGAAGAAGGAGGTTAAAAAAAATCCTCTCCGAATATACTGGGGGCTGGGAGAAATCCCTTCCTGACCCCTGCAGGTCATCAGCTGAAGCTCTGAGTCATGAGTTTTTAGGAACATAAGACATAAACCAGAAGTGAACCCTGCCCCCTACCATCACAAACAACGTCATCATAGAAGTGGGTATTCACCCACGAAAGCTCATGCTCCAAAACGTCTGTTAGTCTATAAGGTGCCACAGGACTCTTTGCTGCTTTTACAGATCCAGACTACCACGGCTACCCCTTTGATACCTCATCATAAAATTTCATATTCTATAGTATGAGACAATATATTCATGTAAGAAAAGTTTTCTAAATGAGTTCCAATAGTTCATGGATTAGGGACCCAATTTTATGGGTTTCCAGGGGCTTCTGTATAGATTATTTAGGTTAATCTTTCTATCTACCCAATGGGACTCAGTGCTAAGTCTAGAACAGTGGTTCACGAAATGTTACAGGGGGTTCTCGGGGAAAAAATTCCCTAATGGTGGACAGAGCTGTCGCTAGGGCCCCCAGGCAGCACGGGGCCAGCAGCCCGGAGCCCCTGGACTTCCAAGAGCTAAGCAGCTCAAAGCAAGCAGATCTATTACACTGAGGAGATTTAAACTTCAAGACTCCTTATAAGACTTGGAAAGGGAGGTGGATATTTTTTGCTGTTTTTAAAATTAAATAGGCAGCTAGTATTGTTTTTAAAATTATGAAGAACAAGTTTAAGTTTTGTTGTAACGTGCGTTGCTTTCCTGGAATACTCAAGACCTGAATGCTTGTGTAGGAGGAACTTTTGAGTTGGCTTCTTAAATACCTTCATGCTGTTTCACATCTGATACTCCGTGATGAAACATAGAAGCCTTGTCTTATAACAGACTTATTCAAAGTGATACAAGCTACGAAAGTGAGATCTTGGAAGAGTGTTGCCATTTTCATAATGCAATAAAAATACTGTAATGATAAATAGTAATTAATAATAAATAGTGTGTAATAAGCATGTCATAAAAACAAATTTTATATTTCCAAGATCACTGCTTTTATAATTTAGACTCAGGTAAAGGAGAAAATCCCTGGGAATATTCATTTTTAGGAGGGGGTTTGTGAGACTTGACATTTTAGTGAAAGGGGTTCACAGGTTGTTAAAGTTTGGGAACCAATGGTCTAGAAGATACCATCAGATGTTTAGTTTTGCAGTTCTCAAACTGTGGATTTGTGTCTCCAGAGGTAACATGCTTGTTAAGAGCAACAATGTTTTTAAATAAATAATATATAGAGGTGAAAAATAACAGACCTCACTCAACCCTATTGTCCCTCTGCAAATTTGTGTATACAGTCTCTAAAAGTGCAAAGTTTCAAAAAGTTCAGTGAATAGAAGATTGTTGGGAGTGGAATAGATCTGGAAAAGAGAAGAAGTCTGGAGATAAATATGAGAAGGGAGGGACAGGCAGTAGAAACAAAAGTGAAACTGTTTAAGCAGCATATTTCAGAAGTCTTGAGGTCTTTCTGAGTGTAGCCGTCATTGATTTGAGATCTACCATACCATTCCCTAACTAGAAGAGAAAACCTATAATGGCAGCAGGCCGTAAAAGAGACCCAGTTTGGGTCTCATCTATCTCTGAGTTATGACGAATATGTATTAAGGTTATAATAACCAACAAGAATGCACTTTTATGTAAAAATCCATGATTAAACTGAGTCTTCCTGACTAGTAATTTAAATCAAATCCACCCTGATTTAGATACTACACTATTTATCCTCACGATTATGCCAGGGAGGTAGGCCAGTGCTATTACTCAATTTTACAGACGTGTAGCTTTTAAATATAATTAGTATTAACTAGGGTTACCATACATCCATATTTCACCGGACATGTCCGGCTTTTTAGTTGTTAATTGCCGTCCGGGAAGATTTTTTAAATATATAAAAACGTCTGGAAAATACGGACGTATGATAACCCTACCCACTGCCCCCTCTCCTCTTGGGGTGTCAGCTCACTCAGCCTGCGAATTGCAACCCCCCCGTGCTGCTGCAACCCTGTGCCCCACGGCTAGGAGCAGTGGCGTCTCTGCAGCCAGCTGCTGGTGCGGGGGACCCGCGGCCGCTTCTCCCTTTTCCGAGCATCCCCCACGGCTCTGGCAGAGCCTCAGTCTCCCCCCTCCGTCCCGGCTGTGCAAGGAGCCCCCCCGCCAGCGGTCCGTGCCGCCGGGGCTGCCTCCACCCTGGCGGAACCGCTGCCCAGGGGTGGGTCCTGGCGCAGGGGAAAGTTTCTCGGCGCACGGCGGCTCCTGGGAGCCCGAGCTCCCCCACCTGGGAAGGGCCCGCGCTGCAGCGCCTCCCGCAGCCTGAGCTGCCGCAGCCTCGCCAGGTCCGGCTGGGAGCGGGGTGGAGGCTCCCCTGAGGGAGGTGAAGGGTGGTGGCTCTGAGGTGGGGGGGATTCTGAGGGTAGGGGGCTATGGGCGGGCTCTGAGGCAGGGGCTGTGGAGGGGGTGGGCTATGGGAGGAGGTGGGGAAATGAAGGGTAGGGGTTGAGGAGGAATGAGGTGGGGGGGGCTATGGGAGGGGGCTGTGGAGAGTGGGGGAGCTGTGGAGGGCAGGCTCTCAGGAGAGGGGGCACTGAGGCAGGAGAAGGCTGAGGATGGGCCCTGTGGAGAGCGAGTGGCTCTGGGGTGAGGCCTGGGGGGTCGGGCGGGCGGGAGGAAGCAGCTCTGGGGCGAGGCCTGGGGGTTCCGGCGGGCAGGTGGGAGGCGGCTCTGGTGTGAGGCCTTGGGGGGTCCGGCGGGTGGGCGGGAGGCAGCTCTGGGGTAGGGTTACCATATGTCTGGATTGTCCTGGACATGTCCGGCTTTTTGGTTCTCAAACCCCCGTCCAGGAGGAATTTCCAAAAAGCCAGACATGTCCGGGAAAATAGGGAGGCATGGTAAGGGGACCGCCTCCTCCCCGGGCTCCAACTTTCCCGGCTCCCGCCGCTCTCCACCACAGCGGGGGCCAAAGCAACTTCCCCAGCGCAGCAGCAGCTGGGGGGCGGGAGGGAGGAGGGGGAATGAGGGGTGCTCAGGGGAGGGGGCGGAGTGGGGGCGGGGACGTTGGGGCAGGGCCGGGGCGGAGTTGGGGCGTGGCCAGGGCCCCGTGGAGTGTCCTCTTTTTGCAGTATTGAAATATGGTAACCCTATATTAACCCTGTTTATGATACTGCCTAAGTGCCACCAATAATGGGGTCCCATTGTGCTAGGTGCTGTAGAAACAGTACCAGGTAGTCCTGGCCCCAAAAACCTTATAACCTAGACAGACCCAAAACAAGGGGATGGCAGCAAGCGGCCTGTTTGTGCCACTATTTGTTTTCTTGGGAGGGGATCATCTAAATGGAAAGCAAAAGGGTGAGGCATGGAGAAGAGGGTAAGCTGTGGTGAAGAGACTGAGGATAGGGGGGTTGGAGCAAAGAGCCAGTCTGCACTGGGCCGAGACCATCCAGTCAAAACGGTAGGAAGTTCTCTCACTGTCCTGGTTTGGGCTGCTTCTGCTCCTGGTGGAGCTGGAGTCGCTGGCTGGCACCTGTCTGCAATTCCCCCCCTTCCCCCCAAGGCCATGTGGGGTTGGGGGGGTGCCCCCCTTGGGTACTAGTACCCCCAGACTGGGGGGGGGTCTCCCCTGCTTTGATGTTACAAAGGTCCGTTCCATTGACCCTGTTCTATAGGTGGGGAAACTGAGGCACGGAGCAGGGCTGCGACAGGCCTGAGGGGACAGGGTGGCGACTGCGATGGATTCAGGGCCTGACCCCCAATGTCTCCCCAACCCCTGGGCCGTCCTTCCCCTAGAGCAGCCACACCCCATCTCCGCTCCAAGGGACTGAGAAGGGGAGTCAGCCCCTGTCCCCCCGCCCCCCCACGCCCCAGCAGGGTCAGGGGGTTGTCATGGGCGGGGGCTGGGACAACGAGGGAGGTGCTGTGGGCCCTCCCTACCTGTAAGGGGCGCTGTCTGAGGAACCGCTCCTCCGCCAGCCCAGCGAGGCACTCGGCACTCTGCTGAGATCCCTGACGGCTCCGGCTGACCCGCGCTTCCGCCCTGGTGCAGGGCGAGTGGGCGGGGGCATACGCCTCGCGCCTGCGCGTGTCGGCCGACCCCTCACTGCGCACGCGCCCTCGGGAGTAACCGTCAGGGCGAGGAAAAAGCCCCGAGAATTCCAGCCGCGCTCGAGCTCCCGGCGCAGACCCCGCCCCTCCCCCCCCCGGGGCATGTGAGGCGGCGCGTGACCTTCCGCCCTGCAGCGCGAGCGGGCCGGCCTGTCCGCGCGGTTCCGTGGGGCCGGGCATGCCCGTGCGGCTGGCGGGGCAGGGCGGCCGCTCGCCTCCCCGCGCCGCCCCGCCGCGCGCTCTCCGGCCGCGGGGCCCTGCGTGAGGAGAGACCCGGGGGGTGCTGGGATGCCGCCGCCGCCGCCGCCCCCCGGCGCTGAGTCCTGCCGCTGGCGGGTGCTGCCGCTGCCCTCCGGCTGCCCGCGGCCGCCGCGCCGGGCCGCCCACTGATCCCGCCTGCCCCGCGCCGGGCCCTGCCAGGAGCCCGCCAGCGGCAGGATGCAGGCGCCGCCGCTGCTCTACGAGTTCTTCAGCGAGGAGAACGCGCCCAAGTGGCGGGGGCTGCTGGTGCCGGCCCTCAAGAAGGTGAGGGGGCGGGGCGAGCCCTGGGGGGGGGGGGGGGTCCTACAAGCTGGGGGACGGACGGGGTCAGCGAGGGGGGGGCTGCCCCTGCCTGGGGGCGGTGGGGCACGTGGAGGCTCCTCACACCTCCGCGTGGGGAAGGGGCTGTGGCTCCCAACCTTTCCCGAGCCTGAGTGGCTTGGTTTCAGAGGAGCAGCCCTGTTAGTCTGTATCCGCCACAAGAACTGGCGTCCTTGTGGCACCTTAGAGGCTAATCCATTTCTGTGAGCATAAGCTTTCCTGCGCTACAGCCCACTTCATCTGATGCATCGAATGGAACACGGGGAAAGACGATCGATAGACACATACAGAACGTGGAAAGGTGGAAGTAGCCGGACCAATGCTAAGAGGCTAACGAATTAATATGAGCTGTTAGCAGGAGGGAAAAAAAACAACTTTTGTCATGGTAACCAAGATGGCCCATTTTAGACAGTTGACAAGAAGGTTTGAGGATACTTAACATGGGGAAATAGATTCAATTTGTGTAATGACCCAGCCACTCCCAGTCTCTATTCGAACCCAAGTTAATGGTATCTAGTTTGCATATTAATTCAAGCTCAACAGTTTCTGGTTGGGGTCTGTTTTTGAAGCTTTTCTGCTGCAAAATTGCCTCCTTTAAGTCTGTTCCCGAGTGACCAGAGAGGTCACTTGCTTGAGTACCCCCAAGTTTCATCTCACTTAAAGACGACTTGCTTACAAAATCAGACCTAGAAATACAAAAGTGTCACAGTCTCACGATTACTGTAAAGGGCTTATTTTTTAATTTTTACCATAGAATTATAAAATAAATCAGTTGGAATATAAATACTGTACTTACATTTCAATGGGTAGTATATAGAGCAGTATAAACAAGTCATTGGCTGTGTGGAATTTTAGTTTGTCTAGTGCTTTTTCTGTAGCCTGTTGTAAAACTAGGCAAATATTTAGATGAGTTGATGTAACCCCTGGAAGTCCCCTGCGTACCCCAAGGGGTATGTGTACCCCTGGATGAGAACCACTGGTCTAGTTGCTGTTTGAAAGAAATAAGCCCTGTGTAAAGGATTCTCTAGGCTTTGTCAGTAGATTCAGAGCAAGAGTGGAGGAAGTATATCACACTGGATCCTATCAAACTGGAGAGCATTTTACTAACTTCTGGTTAGTGTGTTGGTGCTTCTCTTGTGTTGAACTGGTGGTATGACAGCCTAATTTATAGCCAGAGTGTGAGCAATTTGGGGCATGTCTATGACCGTAGCAGTGGTGACTTTTTTTCTTCTTTTCAACAGTACGGCTTCATTTATCTGCATTAATGACTGATCTATCACATGATATCAAATATTGCAAACACAATTTAAAAATTAACCATTTGATATCTCTAGTTTTATTTTATTTATGATACTTCATATCATAGTGAATGTACTTCAATAAATGTTGAGACCTCACTGTGCAACACTATGCTATTAAACCTTTGCTGAGGCCTGGGGGCAGAGCCTGACAGATTTTTCTTTGGTTGCTATGTTTGCAGATGATAAAGTGAATTTGGTTAAGTTTTCTTGTGTTATTGTGGATCATTGTTTTTACTATGTTTATCCTTTCTCAGTCTCACTTGGTCTTACATTACCAAGGAGATCAGGCTCATAATTTGCTAGTGAAACCTTATTCTTGGACATATTCCGCTTGTGTTCCAGTTTGGCTCAGAAATTCATTGTTTTTGTTTATAACTTTTTATGGGGCTCTTTCTTCTCCCAGTTCATTAGTTCCAGAAGTGATCTTTTCAGCCTAGTCAAGGTCGCTTGTTGTCAATCTCCTTTTTTAATGATGTATAATGGTTTACTTGGACAAGTATATGTGCAGTTTAAAACATACGTGTAACCGCTGTTTTAAAAAATATCAGTTTAAAGGAACTTGCGCTCTAACTTTTTAAATTATAATGAAATATTTGTTTATCCCCCTCCATTTTTGTGCATATGAAACAGTATGGCTGAAATTGAAATTTCTCAGCTGTGAGTCACACAAGTTAACCTGTCTTTTAAAAATAACATTCAGCTTTTTATGAAAGGGAAAAAAATATAGTATTTACTTAGGTTAGAACTTAGATTTTTACTTGTACGTTCTACAAGAGCTTATGTGGCGGGGTGGGGGGAGACTTTATAGTGAAAGTATTTTACTTAATTAGAACTGTGATTTAGTGACTTTACTTTAGTTTTAGTATTTTGTAAGAATGCTTTTTGCTAAGGATTCGTTAGGAATGAGGGAACAGTAAGTCTCACTCCCATGTGTTCATTAGAATTTGTGTGTGTTGGAAAAATGGAATATGGGGAAAATGGTCAGGCTGTCTTATGATCCACTTCTGAACTTTGTCCATAGAAAGCAAGACAAAAGGGGTTCAAGAAACCATTGCTTAGAATGGATTCAGACTGCAAAACTTACTCAACACCTTATTTCACATATAACAGACATTCTCGGCATTTTACAAGTGTATTGGTTTTAACAGTTAACTGGAACTTCTGAGTGAAACACTTGCTCTCAGTTCTGGCTGAACTGATGCACTTCCCACTGTGGACTAGAAGTCGCAAGTGTTTCAGCTGTATCGATTCAGCCTGACTTTCTGACTTCATCTCACAATGCATTTGCCTCATGTTCCAGAGTGAGCATGTTTTCCCAAGGTCTCTGGCACTCTGTGCTGTTCTACTTGTGGTAACAGAGTCTTATCTGTGTATTCTCCAAAGCATTTGCTGCTGCAATGCACACATGATCACTAAACTTCTGGGCTAGCTACCCATATCTTTGCTTCTTGCCATACGTCTAAACATTTGAGTAGCAAGCTGAACTAAGGCTTCCTGGGATCTGGAGTAGCAAGGTGCAGGATGTCTCAGTTGTTCACAAAATGGGGCACTAAGCACAGTGCCAAGCAATCCCGGGCAAGATCAAAGAGACTAGTAGGAGCTCCAGCAATAACAATTCTTTTGGGACCACTCAGGTCACTTGCTGCTTCTGTGAAGTGTTTGTTTATATCTTGGTGAGCAAGCCAGCCAATGAGTTGGCCTCGATTATCAGTGTTTGCTGGAGAAACTCTCATGAGGGTGTACTTGCTGAGGACCAGCAAGAAAGGAGTCCTGGAGTTTGAGGCCAACTGTCAGAAGAAGTTGATGAAAGTAAACTGCCAGGGATGATGAGAAACCTGCCATACTAGGTAGCATTCCTTTTGGTTTCTATGTATTGCATTTATTCTGGTTCACTGTGTATATCTGGGGAATGAGAGGCAGACTTACTTGGAATTGGGAAATATTGGGGGTGAGTGAGTTCTGAAGCTTCCCCCCCCCCCGCATTAATTTGCAATGATGTAACAAATCTTAACTGCTCCATTGTTCTTGAGACCACTGTCTGCTTCATATCTTCATTCTAGATACTGCCTACCATGCTCTAGAATCCTAGATTACAGCTGCTACCATTATTTGTTATAAAGGTAGAAATGGAAACTTCTGCCCTTAACCAGCATCCATTTTAGTAAAATCCCATTGGGAATGGGCCAGAGATAAGCAGCCGAATACAACTGAGAACATTTTAAACATTCAAGCTCCTGGAAAAGTTAAACTTGTATATATTGCTAAATTCTACAGGCACAAATGCGGTGGGGGAGAATCCCCCAGAATAAAGCCATGGGTCTATCAGAGCTGGTGGACAAAATTGATACTATGAAAATAAGTTCACCGTGGAACTCATCTTTATCAATGCATCAAATATTTCAGCAATGCAATCGTTCAGCTTTGCAACTAGTATGCATCTGGTAAAAGTTTCACACTCCACTGGCCGGAGGGCTAAACCTATAGCCAGAGGCCAGTATGTAGGATTGGTGGAGCTGGAGGTGGTGGCAGCTGTGGAGATCTAGAGAGAGCACCCTCTAGACAGTGTCCAGTGCTCTGAATCCAAGCAGTTCATGAATCTTCCCATAATGTCCCTGGGCATATCTACAGTGTTTTGGAGCCCATGGGAGTGAGCCTTCCAGCCCATGTCGACAGACTCAAGCTCGAGGACACTGGCACTAGTGCTCTAAAGAAAGCACTGTCTACGTAGCTATGCAGTTGCAGTATGGGCTGGAGTTTGGGCTCTGAAGCTATGCTGCAATTTCAGTTCTGTCTACATATCTCTTTTTAGAGCCCCTCTAGCCTGAGTCTGTTGACCTGAGCTGAGAGGCTCATTCCCGTGGGCTCCAAAACTCTATATAGACGTACCCTGTCTGTCAATAGGTGTCATATACATCTGAAGCTTGCACACACCAACTGATTGCTAGAAGGAAGAGAGAGCTTTCTCTTTCCTACTCCTTTCCCAGTCACCTTGCCAGATTTTAATACCCTTACTCATATTGATGGGCGCATCCCGAAGGACATCCTCTATGGTGAATTGGGATCTGGAAAAAGACCCAAAGGACACCCAAAATTGCATTTCAAGGATGTGTGCAAGTGAGACCTCAAAGAAATGGACGTGGATGTGGACAAATGGCAAGATCACAGTCAAGACCGCAGCCTTTGGAAATAAGAGCTTAACAAAGGTCTCCAGAGTTATGAGAGGAAGCCATCCAGCTTAGCAGAGAAAAGAGCTGGCAGAAGGCAGAGCCCAAAACATTGAAACATCACCTTTAAATTTGACATACGGCAGAGATTCTCTCTCGAGTGGGTTTCTTCAGCCATGTTCGCAGCTGTATTAAAACCAACTGAGTATATGCTTTACCTCTCGGGCGCATACCTGTGGTCTTTCGAGACTGAAGGATGCCTACATACCCAGGTTGGTTAGCACGTCTGACTTTAATGGGACTGTTTGGAGAGTAACATACTATATAATGTACAAGAAAGCATCCTTTTTCTGTGTCCAATTAAATTTTTTCATGCCATGATATGATGGGGAAAGCATCATCATCAAACACATGTCGTTTTTTGAGGATTGTTGTACTAGCTAGACTGACCATGGTTGATGGCGTCACACCAAACATC